TGATTGACACATAATTCCCACCCCACTCCCCACCCCTCAGGGGATGAACAACAGAAATGTGGGTGAAGGGAGAGAGAGGTCAGTATAAGAAATGAAAATAATAATAATAATAAGTTATAATTTATCAAGGGATCACAAGGGTGGGAGCCAGGAGAGGGAGGAAAAAAGGAGGAGCTGATACCAAGGGCTCAAATAGAAAGTAAATGTTTAGAAAATAATGATGGCAACATATGTAGAAATATGCTTATACAATTGATGTATAGATTGTTATAAAAGCTGTAAGAGCCTCTAATAAGATGATCTTTTAAAAGACACAAAACATTTTTGACTGTGGATGAAATGAGTCACCGTCAGTGCTCTGCTTAGCAGAACGCAAGCACACCACGCATAACCCCGAAGGCCATTCTTGTTATTCTCGTTGGAGTGCTGCTTCTCTCTGGCTTTCATCGAAGCCTTTTTTTCATAGCTGCCAGTTGTCTAGGTTCCGCCCTCAGATTGCTTTCCTTTCTCTCATCCTCGCTTCAGAACGGTGTCCATTTTTCATCGGAAACCGTATCCTCCGGGAGCTATCTCTGATACTCACAGTGACCTCGCCCCTGAAGCATAGCTTATTTCTGTGCAATCCCATGAGAACTGATCCCACCTTAAGTTCAACATGCTTAAAATTCAGCTTCTCTGGATCCAATTTTCAGCCAAATAATAGAGAGGCTGTCAAGGCGAACAGTAACACGACAGAGGTACCTAGCCCTGACAAGAAGCAACCATTGAGATCAGAAGGGCACCGTTTGCCAAAGGATAGCGTTCAGGAGACAGGAAGGAGGGAAAGAAGGAGGGATGACAGTGGGAAGCAGGAGGAAGAAGTGTGATAAGTGAGGCCATTTTGTGGGGATTGCAATTAGTGATCTGAAACAAAATGTGTATGCATTTTTGAACGGAAGACTGATCAACACTGTAAAGCTTCACCCAATTCACAAGAAAAGGTTTTAAAAAAAAGAAAGAAGAAATTCAGTTTCTCTTGGTGTGCCCACTAAATCATGTTGCTTGCCGTCTCTATGTGAACGATGCTATTGTGTGAACAGCGTTGAGCATGCCTTTCTGGTTCCTCCTTTCCATGGTTCTCCTCGCCAGATTAGTGCACCACCCTGCAGAAGGCCTCTGACCTTTCTCCTTTCCTTCATTTCCTCCTTGAAGGGTCCTTAAACTATTCTCTCTTTGCATTATATTCTAAAACATTTTGCTTTGCTTTGTTTTTGTATGTATTATTGCCTATGCATGTCTATCTGGACAAGATAGGTGGGAGGGACAATCCAGAGGAGAGAACAATGGGACTGGCGGTTCCGGGGAACATGGGAGAGGGGTCGATGGGGGAAAAGAAGGGAATGCCAACAAACCCAGGGGAAAGGGATAATAAATAATCTAAAATTGATGGTGAGGAGGGTATAGGATGCTTGGCGGGGCTCGATCAAGGGCAATGCAGCTGAGAGGAATTACCAAAACATGAAAGAAGGCCGAACGTGATACTGGGACAGGAGGAAAGTAAAAGGAAATAGAGAAAAAAACTGGGAGGCAAAGGACATTTATAGAGGTCTAAATACAGGCATTTATATATGTAAATACATTTACATATAATGATAAGGGATAGATATATGCACATATATTTATTTATAAAGTATTATGGCAGCAGATGGACATTGGGCCTCCACTCAAGTACTCCCTCAATGCAAGAACAATTTGTTCTACTGACATGGCACTCTGTGATGTTCACCTTCCCTGACATGATTGCTGAAGACAAAATGGGTGCATAAGCAAATGTGGTGAAGAAAGCTGATGGTGCCCAGCTATCAAGAGATATAACATCTGGAGTCTTAAAGGCTTGAAGATAAACAATGGTCATCTAGCTGAGAAGAAACAAAGCCCACATGGAAGAAGCACACCAGTCTATGTGATCATGAGGTGTCAATGGGATCAGGTATCAGGCATCAAAGACCCCAAACAAACAAAAATCATATCAATGGGAATGAGGGGGAGGGCAGAGTAGAGACCCAAAGCCCATCAGTAGTCAATTGGACACCCCCTGTCAGAAGGGCCACAGGAAGAGAAGAGACAGTAAGGGTGCAGCATAGCACTGATGAAACACACAACCTTCTTCTAGTTCTTTAATGCTTCCTCCCCCCCAACTATCATGATCCCAATTCTATCTACAAATCTGGCTAGACCTGAACATGAATACTGGTACAGATAAGAGCTCGCAACACAGGAACTCCAGAACAGATAAACCCCTCAGGACCAACAAGGGAAGCTGCAATACTAGGAGGGTAAGGTTGGGGCGGGGGTGGGGGTGCAGTAAGGGAGAACCGATCACAATGATCAATGTATGGCCCCCCCTCCCAGGGGAATGGACAGCAGAAAAGTGGTTGAAAGGAGACAGTGGGTGTAAGACATGAAAAAATATATAAATTATCAAGGGGACATTGGGGAGAGAGGGTGGGGGGAAAATGAGAAGCTGATGCCAGGGGCTCAATACAAAGAAAATGTTTTGAAAAAGATGATGACAGCATATGGACAGATGTGTTTGACACAATGGATATGTATGGATTGTGATAAGAGCTATAAGAACCCCCAACAAAATAATTAAAAAATTACATTTTATAAAGGAGAGTCTATTGGGATAAAAACAAACATTGACAAACCTGTCCAACATACCTAGGCTAGAACAGCCCTCTGCTCTGGCTGCCTACCCAACCGGCAGGCACAGGGCCTGCAGGTACTTGCAGTCTGCAGTGCCCACAACATTCAGGTCAGAATTCAGTCCTTCCCTTGGTAGTACCAGTGCACTAACCGCACTCCCCCCCTCGTCCCCCGCCCAGCCAGCTACAAAAGGTTCCTTTGAATTGACTTTGACACATGGCGACCCCACGTTTGTCAGTCCTTCAAAGGGTTTCTGGGATTGAGTTTTCAGAAACAGACATCTAGATCTTGAGCTTTGAACTTTTAGTTAGCAGCCAAGCTCGTGAACTATTTTTACCCCCTAGGGACTCCACCGGTACCTAGCCAGAAGGTTTTCTCTGTCAGTGATGGGCGAGACTCTGGTCGAGGTCGGAGGACTTGGGCTGCCGTGGAAATTCAGTCTGCTGGACTGAGAGGCCCGGGCCTGGTTTCTTTATCTCTAGAATGGAGAATTTGACTGGGATTGTTTTCTATGGTTACTTTATTGCTAAAATACGATTTCCTTTTCTTCTGATGTCTACAGACGATTGTGGTATTTTTGATTTTAGCCTTACATTTACATTATGTAAAACCTCCAATAATTTGAGAGATGTGAATATAATTTTTGAATATCTGCAGTTCCATTAATATTTCTTTTTTGTCCCCTATGTGAGTGATAAATTTTGGGATAGCCTTGAATATTTTATCAATTGTATAAAGAGTAGATAAATGTGCAGTAATTATATGTGTACATAAGTGGATATATGTGTGTATGTATATGCTCTTAAGTTAATTGTGTGCATATCTATCATTTGTTAATTATTTGTTACTGCTGAGTCAGTTTTGACTGAACTAATTATAGTCAAAGTTGATTTCCCTTTAACCAGAACACTTTAATGCACTGTTACGACTACGGAAAATGATTAAAAAAAAAAAGACTATGGAGAATATGTAACCAACTCATGTGACTTTGAAAGGTACTGCATTCCGTTTTGGTTTGCAAACAAACCGTGTGGTTATTATATCCACAACTTGAAATGTCACATCAACTAATTATTGGTAGTGGTAAGGAATTCCAGCCTGGTCAAGGGGGACGGGCAGACTGGGAGCTCTTTCATAATCAGGTAGTCCCAGGTTGCCAGTATAGCTGTGAGTTAAAAGAATTCTTTGTTCTTTGTTCAGTTTTAATAAGACTTTGGACATGTTTGTGGTAATTGGTTGAGGATCGAGGATTGGAGCTTTAGAGACACAGAATGCTAGCTCTGGGCAGCACCTTGGGGAGGTAACATAGTGGGGCTATTGGCAGCATAGTTCTGGCCAATGACAGTGTTGGATTCAATCCTAATTCCACCTCTCATTGACCATGTGCTTTTGAACAAGTTGCGTATCCTCTGTGCCTTGTAAAGAAAGCATAGTAATTCATGTATCAGAGGGCCATTTTAAGGATCTGAAAACATAGCACTTGGCTCAGTAAACGCTATACATATTTAAGTCACTGTTACTATCAGGCAAGACCCTCATTTTACAATAGAGGAAAAGAGCTTACTATATGATGGGAAAGTAGTGACGAATCATGTGCTACAAAGGGCCACTTCTGACTCCCCTGTCCTCTACCTAGCTCGTCCTAGTTCTTTGAAATTACCTGTCTGACCACATAGCTCATCAAGTCTGGAATGGGGGAAGAGGAGAAGGTGATGACTAAGCAGATACCTATTCCCCAATCATCTCTTTTTTTAATCCCTTTCCTGGCTCCTTTCTAAATGTCTCTTTCATTTATGCCCACCCCCTTCACAGTCCCTTTCTCTTCTGTTACTATCCTCAGTACTTATATTCAAGACGTTGCGGAGCAGTTGGTTGAATCTCTACTTCAGTCCCTGGGTGGTGCGATGGTTAAGCACTCAGCTACTGACTCACAGATCTGAGAGGGTAGTGGTCTGGAGCCCCGGACGCACGGCGGAAGAAAGGGCTGGCAATGTGATTCTGAATGGTGACATCAATGAAAGCTTGTCTGATGACAACACATGCGGGGTCATGACCATCGTTACTTTCCCCTTCACAGTAGAAGGGTGTCGAAGACGGACTGTCAGTACTCACACGTGGAAAAGAGCACAGCGCTCAGAACGTAGCGGGGGCTGCACGCTGCGGTCGTGTTGGAAGTTATGGAGCTCCTCCCACCCTGTAGCCACAAGGCACTGTTTGCACAGGTTTTCCACACAGGGCGGCAACAAGGGCCTGCAGGGCAGCGCTTGCCTGGGTGTGACCTGGGGCACGTTGGTGGTGCCTTTCCTGCTTACCTGTCTCTGAAGAAGAGCAGCTCCTTTCCTAGCATGGTCACGGCATCAAAGGGCGAGTTGGAGTCGCAGAGGTCAGGGTTTGACGGTTTTTTCGGGGGTAAATGGGGCATGGTGGGCTTCCCTGGGAGTGTTTTCCGAGGGCCTAGGATTCAAAGGAACATGCTCAAAATGATGTCAGGAATCTGGGGCCTGCACCTTTCTGTTCTTGTGCCCTTGCCCTCAGTATGTGTCTGTGTGACCAGGCTGCTGATGGCAGGCTGGCTTGCGGTGGAAACTCCGCTTTCCTGGTTGCCTGTAACCCCGGTCTGTGTGCCCACAGCAGCCGGCTCGGTGGAAACTCTGCTTTCCTGGTTGCCTGTAACCCCTGTAAGCTGCTGCTTCCTCACGTGTGCAATGGGAGTGATGTGACCAGTACCTCCTTCAGAAGGTAGTCACGAGGATTCAGTAATCTCTACGAAATACTTACTAGAGTTCGTGGCACAGAGTAAACATTTTGAAAAATGGTAGTTATTATTTCACCTAGTTCCTGGGTGGGGGAGGTGGTCGACGATCTTGCCTGCTCACCCAAAGGTTGGAAATTTGAGGCCATTTAGGGGCAGCTCGGAAGAAAGACTTGGTGATTTGTGTTTTAAAAAACTCGCTGTTCAAAATCCTAGAGCGCGCAGTTCTCCTCTGAGACATACGGTTTGTTGGTATTATTTGGTTGGTATAAAAATTTCTTCAATAGTTCCAGACTGGAGACGGATTTGAAACCTTGCCGCTGATTGTCTCTTGGGAATTAGTCCTTTCTTCTTAGTCAGAGGATAGCGTCCTTGTGTGTTGATCATTTTTGTACACCTTTTGTGATCCTGTCAGGCCCCTGAAAGACTGGGGAAATTCTTGGGAAGGGGAAGGGCATGGAAGGTATGTGCTATTTGAAGGCATCTCTTGATGGAGCCTCTTTTAAACAGGGACCTGCTTCTAGCGAGGGCTGTCTGTGAATTTTTATCTTCCACTGAGGGTCAGCAGGCAGAATGACCCGGAACTACCTGGACCCGGTCCATGTTGTTTGACAAAAGCTTTTGGTAGCCAGATGGGAGGATCAAAGAAAGAGCAAGGGCACAGGAAAGAAACAAGATTCAAGACAGATTAGAGTGAGAGTAGGGGTGAGATGAGAGATGAGTCAGAGTCAGCAGTGGGGTAAGGGCCAGTGGTGGGGTGAGGCTTCAGGAAAAGCTTAGAGCCAGGAAATTGGGCACATCAGAAATGTGGTGAGGATCAGGGAGAGGGTGGCAACATCAAGCCATCTATTCACATTCTGGTCAACTGTGTGAAAATAGCCATGTGTGTCTAGGTAGTTCAGCTCCAAGCTAACTGATCTTGGCCAATACAATGGTGGTGACTGTAGAGCACAAGTTCTTAGAAAGGACATGCAAGCCTTCGGAACTGGCCTTCTTTGTGGTCCGTGGGCAGGTGTCACATTGGCCCTCAGCCACTGGTGCTCAGGGGTCAGGTTGATAGAAAGGAAACATTGAAAACACTGTTCCCGTCACTCAACTGAGAAACAGAACCGGAGTCTTCCTACTCATTGAACGGGCGGACCTGGCTGGAGGCTTCTTTGATGAGATTTGTTCTTTGTGGCTTGTGGTGAAAGTGGACAGTCTACAAGGTGTGTGCCCATTTCTAGATGGTCTCGCCAAGATGCAGGGAGGCATTTGAGTGAGCTGGACTCTCTAGATCAGCGGTTCTCGACTGTGGGTAGTGATGTTGGGTAAGCTGTGGCTTGCTAACCACAGGCTCAGAGGCTCAAAGCCACCAGCCTCCACAGGAGAAAGACGAGTCTATCTGCTCCAGGGAAGATCTACAGCCTCGAAAGCCCTGTGCTTTCGATCGTGACCTCTTTGGGGGTCTAACGATCCTTTCACCGGGGTCACCTAAGACCATCAGAAAACACATATTTCCGATGGTCTTAGGAAATGAGACATCTGTCTCCATATGGGTCCGCCCACATGCAGATACGCCCACATATGAGTACCCGGCATGAAGATTGTTACCCATGCTACTTCATGCTTCAAGACAAAATTTCATTTATTTTTCATTAGAAATAAATATTTCACAATATATAATTACATTTTGTTTTTGTGATAAATCACTATGCTTTCATTATGTTCAATTTGTAATCATGGAAATGCATCCTGCATATCAGATATTTACTTTATGATTCATAACAGTAGCAAAATGACAGGTATGAAGTAGCAATGACAATAATTTTAGGGTTTGGGGTCGCCACATCATGAGACACTGTATGAAAGGTCGCGGCCTTAGGAAGGTTGAGGACCACTGCTCCAGAGGCCTCGGTTGGGAGGCTGGAGAAAGGATCCGATGCGCAGAGGGTAAATGATCGCGTTTCTGCTCAGACCTGTAGATTATTTTTCTGTCATTTATTCATAAAAGAAGCGTCAAGGGCTAAAGATGTTTCACGATGGCTTCTCATGGATCAAATGATGTGTTTATCCTGTGTGGAAAATTGGATATAGAGTCTCTTCTCATTGTTGTTAGCTTCTGTGGGGTGGTCCCCAACTCAGAGATCCCTTGCACAACAGAATCAGACTGCTGTATCCAGAGAAGTTTACTGGCTGATTTTGGGAAGCAGATCACCAGGCCTTTCTTCCTAGTCTCTCTTGTTCTGGAAGCTCCTTGTTCAGCATCATAGTAATCCACACTTTCAGGGACAGAGGAGTGGTTACTGCACATGAGGAGCACAGGCTAGGAGTCAAACCTAGATCTCCGCTCCACTCCTGCACTGAATCGTCACTGGTTTCATGAAAAAACAAAACAAAAAGCAAACTGGCTGCCATCCAGTCAATGCAGGCTCACAGCGACCCCTGGGGTTTCCGAGACTGCAACTGTTTACAGGAGTAGACAGCTCAGTCTTTCTCCAAGGAACTGCTGATGACTTCAAACTGCTGACCATGTGGATTGTAGCCCAACACATAACCACTAGGCCGCTAGGGCTTCATAGAGCTTCCAATAATCCTTTAGTCTCTTTCAAGGAATTTAACGCTTGAGCTAACATTGAACATCGTAGGACACTTGCTGTATGTGGGCTTCAGCTTTCTCAGCTACTGGAGGGGGAAAACCTAGCACACCACACAGGCTTTTCAGGTTGTTGTTAAGTGCCATTGAGTCAGTTTCTACCCACAGCGACCTTATGCACAACAGAATGAAACACTGCCTGTTCCTACGCCCTCCGCACAATTGTTCCCATGCAAGACGTGAAAGGTTTTGTGACACAGTGACCAGGCAGATCGTCTATACAAAAGGTGATATGGCTACTAGAATGATCATCGCGATTTTTAGGAAGATAGGTTTACCCATCTACAAAATGGTTGGCAACATGAATAAAACCAAACCAAACCTGCTGCCATTGAATTGATCCTGAATCACAGAGACTTTGCACAGGGCTTTCGAGGCTGTAGATCTTCCCTGGAGCAGATAGACTCGTCTTTCTCCTGTGGAGGCTGGTGGTTTTGAGCCGCTGAGCCTGTGGTTAGCAGGCCACAGCTTACCCAACATCACTACCCAGGTCCTTGGGAACGCGTAGACCCACTGCCATTGAGTCATTCTGACTCATAGCGACCCTGTAAGATGGAGTGGATTCCCCCTCTGAGTTTTCAAGGCTGTAACTCTTTATGGGAGTAGATAGCCTCATTTCCCCCCATGGGGTGGCTGGTGGGTTTGAACACTGATTTTGCAGTTAGCAGCCCAACATATAACCCACTATGTTACCAGAGTTCCTCTTAGGGACTACAATATATATCTATCCTCTCCCAATGTCTATAAATCCTGTTCTGCACTCAACAACAACACCCCCCCACCCCATCCCCCTGAAAATGATTGCATTTTTTGTGGCCATCCAAGGACTAATATTTTCTAGAGGAAGGGTGTAGAGTTTGGGTATCTATTGTTGAAAAGAAAACAAAATTCATATCTGGTTAAACCACTGAGTTTGGGGCTGACCCTTCACAGTCGTGGTGATTGCTGTCAAAGCACACTTCCTCTAAATCGCTGTGCAAATGCCTGTCACTCTCCAAGTTGGTAGTCAAAGAAGTGTAAAGACGGTACCATACAATGCCTGGATCCCTTTCACGTCGTCCTTGGGGAGGTGGAACCCATAGGGATGCTGGTACTTGTAAGTTGGATACATCAGCGCTGACGGATCTGTGGAGTGAGCCAGGCCCAGTGCGTGGCCAAATTCATGAGCAGCAACCGTGAATAAATTGAAGCCTATGTAAGATGATAGAGAGAAAGACAGCATCAATACAGATTATATATATGTATATATATATATATATATATATATTCTATTTTCTGGTTTCATATGGTCTTTTAGGCCCCTGGAGTAGTTCATTCATTTCTTTTTCGAGATCATTTAAGAAGGCAGGTTACTCTGGCTTTCCAGTCTCGTTCTTTCCACCTTGGTGAGAAGGGGGTTGGGAGGGAAGAGTGGAAAGGTCAGTCTACCGGTTCGGCTTTTTGCCAGCACCTCTTCTATGAAATGATCACAATAGCCCTTAGCATCAATAGTGGCCATGGGACTCAGCACCAGAGGTAGATTTTGACCATCATTGCAGTACTGCCTCCCGACCAGCACTGCCAACGTCAACCTGTCCATACAGGTGCCACACTGCAGATTTCTAGACAACACGTATGCTATTCTGAGACCCTGAAGCCCATTCTAATCACATTTCTAAGGAGAATCCCGATTCCCTGAGGTCATTTCTGAACATGCCCTGTTACCAAGTCTAAGTAGGAAGCCATCATAAAAGCTGGGTAGCTTGAGAAAAAGAGCTGTGTGCTGAGGAGGGCATTGCTGATCCTTGAGATCATGTCCTTGGACATGGAGATCAGACCAGACTGCAGCACCCTGAGGGTGGATAGTGCCCTTACAGCGTTCCCTTTCAGATGCTTGCCTTACTCGTTTTTCCTAGTCGGTCCCCCCAGTGAAAGGGTGACTTGGGACATTGAACCTCAAGGTTTCATGATGGAGGCCCAGAAGAAGGTACCCATATTTCCCAGGTGATGGTGAATTGTGCATAAGTACCATTCATTCCCATCGTCCACTTCTCAGCATTGTCGAAATGAGTATCGCCTCCCAGGCCTTCTCCAGGTGCAAAGGCATGAGCCAGAGTCCCCCGAGGACCATCGAATGGATAGGAATCCCCGTGATCTGAATAAGTAGAGGAAAATAGCAACATAGCCTGCATCCTTTGAGCGATTTGGAAGGACCACACCATTATAGGGGATGGCCATCTTTTCACATAGCATTAACACTTGTAAGTAACTTGAATATCTAAAACACATGTGTCTGTGTGTAAATTCTCCATGGAAACAAAGAAAAGCTAGTTTGTCCCCCTAGCAGAGTAAACCATAGAAATGAAAAGCTTTCTAAAGCTTTGTTTATGGAAACATGGGTCAACAGACATCTTACATAGTTACAGGTGGTAGGTGGCAGGAAGAGAAAGACGAAAAGAATCATTTGCTCTGTGAGGCCACTTTTGTGATGAGACCCTCTTTACCATCTGATTCAGGTGAAGGAAGTGGAACAAGTGCGTGCTTTCTGTTTCTATATCATGATTTTATACCATTGAAAAATCAAAACAAAACACCCCCAAAACCATAAACAAACTCCCTGCCATTGACTTGGCACTGGCTCACAGCCCCCTATAGGGCAGTTTTGCCCCGTGGGTTTCCAACACCTGAACTCTTTACAGAAGCAGAAAGTCTGGTCTTGCTCCCAGAGAGGTGCTGGTGTTTTCTGACTGCCGGCCTTGTGGATTGCAACCCCAAGAGTACCCACTATGCCCCCAGGAACCCTATTATACCATGTAAAGCAGTACCCCCAAAATTCTCTAATTTTGAATACATTTTCATGTATAAAACTTATGAAAGTAATGAAGTTATCTAATATCTTTAATATTCAAAGCTTTAGGGTTTGGTTTATTTATTGTCTTTCTTTTGATGAATTGTTTGTTAGAAACTTAATAGGAAGAAAGAAGAGAAAAAAGAGAAACAGTAGAAGCTTCAAGGCACAATTTTTCAGTTGTAGTGGACACATTTCTGGTGTACTGTTTCCCCAGCTTGCAGTGAAATGTAGATTTACCCTGTTTCATGCATTAAGGACCTCATGCACAAGCAACACAGCCCCCAGTAGGACAGGATGCCGATTTGAAGGATCAGGAGAGAGCTCATTGTCATCTCCATGCCCCAAAGCTGCCTGAGTCACGTTGCCTTGACCCGCCACTGGGCATGGCCTTGGCCATTCAGGAGGCCCGGAGTCAGCACTCTTTGTGCTATGTGTTAAGCCATAGCTAGGGCTTGCGTGCTTTTTTTTTTTTTTTACTAGCACCTAAGCATTTTTTTTAACCCTAGTGTAATTATAGTAACATTAAGATCAGGCTTCAGTGAACAGCAACACATATGGACATGTTGCGTGTGGAAGGGAAGAGGCAATGGTGAACCCTCACTTGACTCTTAGGAACTAAGCAAGGCAAGGAAACTTGTCTACTAACTGGACACGTTTCTCTATAACAGGGCTCGGAGCTCTCTACCAACTGCTGGGCACACCCATGCCTCCAATCCTTACCAGAAGGGGTGGCACAAGCGACAGGCAGGTCTCACAGGCACCAGCAAGGGCTGGTTGTTCCCAAGATGTAGTCTGCAAGCTATGGGCAAGACAGCAGCTCTCCTAACTTTCCCTGCAAGGGGAAAAGCTGTGTTGGGGTCCTGGTAGTTCTTGCTGCTTCAGGAGGCAGAGAAGGTGGGAAAGCCTTAGGACACCGTGAAGGACATGATGGGGATAATGAGATGAGGCCAGGTGACCTTCTCTGTGCCAGGTCTAGTCTTCGATGGAGCAGCAGGTGGGTTTGAACCACCAACTGTTCAGCCGGCAGCCAAGTACTTAACCACTGCACCACCAGTGTTCTTTCTCTAAGAGGAAGTGAAATCTCACAGAATTCATTCCCTAATGGGGCAAAGGAGTACCTTGGGTAGTAAGAATGGTTTACTCATTTGGCTGCCAACCAACGGGCAGAGAAGTCTGACGATCTACTGAAATGCCAGCCATTAAAACGGGGCCCAATCTTGTTCTGATCCACGGGGGATCTCTGTGAGTCAGAGTTGACTCAATGCTTTTTTCTTTTCTTTCCTTTTTACTGGTAATAGGATGCAACCAGGACGAGAGCTGGTGACATTGAATCACTTACTGAGCCTGATGATGCCAAGAAATGCCCAGATTGCCTCTCATTCTGTTTTATGGTCCTAAGAACCCGTGGATTTTGTTCAGATCTTGACCTCTGCCCAGATGGTGCTCATCAGTTGGCTTAAATATAGTAGAAGGAACAATATTGGAACAATTCTCCACTGGCTTAGTACATGAAAGTCAAGAATCCCCCCCATACCTCCAGTTTCAAAAGAGATCATGATGTCCGCTTCTCCCAAGTTCACTTTCACGAAGTTCAGCGGGATGGCGCTGCTCCAAGCTTGCAAAGCCATCTCCACGGCCTTGTCCACCTCCGCCGAGCTCATGGAAGACGTGTACTTGGATATTCTGTGGAAGAATGGGAACCCGTTGGCCTTTTGGTAGAATGCATCCGAGTGAAGAAAGGAACAACTATGTTACTGATTGTAGTCGAAGTAAAAACATTGAACAGAAAGCTAATATTTAGGTTGGATTTTTTTCTCCCCTTCAAAATCAAGAATTCTTATTTTGCCTTGTGATTTCTTTAACTACTGGAACATGCTGACAACAGGAAACGTGGAAGGGAGACGCGAGAGACACCTGTGGCAACCTGGGGCTGAGATAGCTTGTCTGGGATTGTTAGTACACTGCTACTCACTGTACAGAAGGGAGAAGCCCAAGGTCATGTGTTGGGCTGCTAACCTCAAAGCTAGCAGTTCGAGATCACTGGTCAGTCCAAGGGAGAAAAATGATGCTTTCTGCTCCAGTAAAGAGTCCCAGTCTCAGAAACCTGCAGGGACAGGTCTGCCCCATCCTATGAGATGGCTGTACGTTGGAATGCCTCGATGTCAGTGAGTCTGGTTGTGGAATCAGAAAGAATAATACGATGTGTCACTTTACAGGTAGCCAAAGCTCCATTTGCCTTGAAGTCGTTTAACCACTTTCTCCCTCAAGGGAGCTGCCACCTTTCAATTGTCAGAAGTTTGTACAAAGGTGGAGTTTTGAAACTGGTCATTCAAAGTTCTAAGGCTTTCCCCAGGGCTGTTGGGGTGCCTTTCCTAAACTACAAAGAATGTGTTTGCTAAAGTCTAGGAAGTGCTGACTTCAACAGCAACAATGTTCTGGACAAAGGGTGAGCCATTCAGTAGGTCTTCACGTGACAGTGACGTGTGAAGGGAAAACAATGTGGAGCTTTTCGGACACCCAGTGGGCGACAGAGGAGCTGGTTATGTTCCAGGATTTGCTGCTCTGGAGCCTGGCGAGGGAGGAGAGGGAAACAGACACTGAGCTGGGCGGGAGTATGGATGCCCAGAGAGAAACCAGCTCTGTGAGCCCGCCTTCGAGGGTCATTCGAGAACAGGGATCAAGCATCCTTCCTTTCTTCAGCTCGGAGTCCAATGTTCGGCACATAGCAGGAGTGTAGCCAATGCTTGTGAAATAGGCCGATGAATGAATAGAAGTCAGTGGTTTTAGGGTCTGCCAAGCAGTTCTTAAAGGCTCTATGGTAACTACTTGGGAGTTAGTTAATACACAGGGGTGACCCAACTCAACTCAATTCACATGGCCACTGAGTGGATGTGGACTCATAGCAACCTTGTAGGACAGGGTAAAACTGTCCCAGTGAGTTTCCAGGACTAACTCTTTACGGGAGTAGAAAGCTCCATCTTTCTCCAATGGAGCAGTTGGTGGTTTCGAACTACTGACCTTGATGATGGCAACCCAACCACTATTCCATCAGGGTTCTCTCACTGCCATCAGTCAATTCTGACTCATAGTGACCCTAGAGGAGAGGGTGGAACTGCTCCGCGGTTTCTGAGACTGTAACTCTTTACAGGAGAAGAAAGCTTCATCTGTCTCCCCTGGCAGGTGTGGTCCAGGGATCTGCATTTTAGCAAGTATCCCAGGTTATTCTAATGTAGCTGGTGAAAATCCAATCAGAAATCAATAGCAGTAAACCCAGGGCTTAACGGGGAAGGACCATAACCCCGAGAGATGGGGAACAATTCAATCTAGAACTAGAGTGGGTAGGAGCAAGGAAAAATTTTACCCCAGGGGTTGTGGTCATGAGGAGTGAATTACAGAGTTGAAGGAGGAACCTAGAAGCATCCCTAAGGGACCATTTGATGCTTTCAAAATATTTTGAATATGCTTTGGCTTTATATATAAAAAACAAACAAAACCCAAACCCAACCACTGTCATTGAGTTGACTCTGACTCACATACATCCTATAGGACAAGCAGAACTTCTCCTTAGGGTTTCTGAGATTGTAAATCTTTATGGTAGCAGACAACCTCATCGGTCTCGGGTTAAGCTGCTGATGAGTTTGAACATCTGACCTTGTGGTTATCACTCCTACACTTACTTCCATAACACTAGCAGGGCTCTTTCGATATAGCTAATACCTTGAAATTTCCTCTTATTAAAGACATGTTCATCATATCTTTGAGCTGATGTAGTGTGGGGGCTGAAGAATAACAGGATTGGAGAAAGGATAGATCCAGAAGAGAATGTTGAGAAAGGGCCTGACCTAGGCTCGAGACGGACAAAGCAAAGACCATAACAACTAATCGTCATTGAGCAGACTGCAGCTGGGCCCTGTTTTAAGCACCTTTTGATGTAGTATCTCATTTAATTCTCACAGCAACCTTTAAGAGAGGGGTAACAATAATGATCTACATTCTCTGATTAGTCAGTATTTCAAACCAGGCCTATCTGACTCCAAAGTTTACATCTTGTGCGAGAGTTTGCCATTTTTTAATTCTCTGGGTTATGTTGTAAGATGCTATCTTGAGAGCCAGGTGTTATCTGGACAGGATACTAAGATAGCATCTGCCGTTGTTTGCTGTTGAGAGGATTTTTTTTTGACTCAGAGTGACCCCATATGACAGAGTAGAACCGCCGCCTAGGAAGTCTAGGCTATAAGCTTTATGGAAGCAGATCACATGGTCTTTCTTCCATGGAGTAACTGGGTGGGTTTGAACTGCCAACTTTTTAATTAGTTGCTGAGTGTGTAACCACTGTGGCATTAAGGCGCATTAAGGCTCATTAAGATGGCCTGTAGACAGAGACTTTTTTGTGTGTAGGGGGTGGGGCTGGCGGGAATTGTTCAGAAGTAAGAGTGGCACGACAGTGTTAGTGTGTTGAAGGGACTGGCATTGCCCAGAGGCAGGGTTCTGTATTCATCATAGGCACCTTAGACTTCTAAGCACCTTAGACTTCTACTTCTAAGGAGGCCTGGTGGGGCTGGGAGTTAGCTGTTGGGCTGCTAGCTACAGGGTCCGAAGTGCAAAGCCACAAGCCGCTCACGAGTGAAAGACAAGGCTGTTTGCTTCTGTAAAGAATTAAAGGCTTGGAAACTCTAAGGAGCAGTTCCACTTTGCCCAAATGAGGTCAGTCTGAATTGAAATCAACTTCATGGCTGTGGGGGTGGTTTGGGGGGTTATTGTACTTCTCCAAGTTTCAAGTTAACTTGTTCTTTGATCTTAGCCTTGCTGTGTGTGGTTCCAGTCTGAAACTCTAGAAAATAATTTAAGAAAACACTGGGGAAAACTTAAGGAATTGTGTAAACTCTGCATTCCTCTTAATTACCTCACAATCACTGCTGTGTTCATATCCTAATAGGATTTTTAAAAATTATTTTATTGGGGGCTCGTACAATTCTTATCACAATCCATACATACATCCATTGTGCCAGGCACATATTTACATTCGTTGCTCTCATGATTCTCAAAACCATTGCCTTCTACTCTAGGCCCTGATATCAGCTACCTGGATTTTTCTTTACTAACAGCTTTGATTTTTGTGGACCTCAAGGTCAGCAGTTCGACACCACCAGTTACTCTTGGGGAGAAAGATGAGACTTTCTACTCCTGTAAAGATTTGCAGCCTTGGAAACCCACAAGCCGCAGCTCTCTTCTACTCTGTCCAGTAGAGTGGATAGGAGTTGGCGTCCACTAGGTGGCAGTGCGTTTGTTTGTTTTTAAACTCACACGAGACCAATAATTGTGCTTTGAGCGCCACCTTCTGGACCAATAGGCTCATCAAAACCCAACCCCCCAAACAAAATAACGCCTAACTCACTGCAAGGGAGTCCATGCTGACTCAGCGACCCCCTGTGGGTTTCTGAGGCGGTCACTGTTTACAATTCGAAGCCCAATGAGGAACCACTACACCACCAAGGCTCTATAGTATACTCTAGACTTTAAATACTTAAGGGAGCTGACAGCTTCCCATTTCTCCAGATGAGCTACCGGTGGGTTCGAATCGCCCATCTTTAGATAATACACAAATGCTTATCTCAAAGCGCACGATGGCTCAGCAGCTAATACGTAGAATCACCTGGCCTCTTTTTACCTCGTTTGCCTATCTGATCTGGGCTCTTACAAGGATAAAAAACTTAGATTTTTCATCAGGGCTTTTACATTTCCTTGCTGTGAATAATCTTGATCTGACAAAGTTCAAGCCACCAGCTTACCCTCATTAAAGGGGAAGTTGGGAAGAAATAAACAATAAAACACTATGTAAATAACCTCACAAATGTAGGTAGTAGTAAAGTGGAGTAAGAGAATGATAACAAGGAACTATTGTTTATAATGTAACTTAATTGTAAGTTAATGGTATTTCCCTGGTAGCTAGTTCACAAAATTCTTGAAAATGTAACAAACTAAGCCCTGAAGATGTAAAGGCGGGCTGTTACAAGCATGTGCTTGAATGATTGCAACAGTCCAGCCTTGTAGGCTTTGTCCACAGGAGCCCAGGGGGCACAGTGGTTATGCACTGGACTGATTACCACAAGATCAGCAGTTCAAAACCACCAGCCAGTCTGTGGGCGAAAGATGCGATGTCCTACTCCCATAAAGAGTTACAGCCTTAGAGACCCATGGTGGCAGTTCTACTCTGTTTTAAAGGGTCGCTGTGAGTCAGAATTGACTCAATGGCAGTGAGTTTAGTTTAGTGGGTTTTTTTTTCCCCCTAGTCTTTGTTCCTGGAGGCTTGGTGGTGGCGCAGTGGGTTAGTAGGGAGGTTGCGACCTGCAAGGTCAGCAGTTCGAACCCACCATCCATGAGTTTGGTTTACTTTTTGAGTCATCATTCAGGTACACTCGTCTTAAATATGAAACCCAAATCTGCTTCTGGCTCTTCCTTCATTTCCCAGAAACATCTTCCCGTACCCCCCACTCCTGCACTCCTCACATGGGGGTTGGGCACGGCTGCCCCAAACACACCAGGCCCTCACGCTCCCTCCTGCTGGTTGCTAGTTCTGCTTTCTTGCTTGGGAAACCCAGGGGCAAGAATGAAAAGGAGAGACCTGGCCAATAGAGCTACTCCCCTTCCTTCCAAAGCCCCTTTCCTCTGACATTGGAGAGGCTCAAGTGCCGGCTGTCTATCAAGTTGAGAGGTGGGCACTATCAGTGACCCACTGCCAGTTGACTGGACCTTGAATGAAGGCCTACACTGACCCCAGAAACTGGTCTAGGGAGGCTTGCCTTGAATACCTAGGACACAGGGAGAAGATATCCCCATTGGGCATATCCCTTAGGCTGCACAGATTCCTTGGGCCCGTAGAAGACAAGATCAGATGATCCAGAGGATGACCACATAGAAAAGCAAACTCACTGCTGGTGGGTTCGAACTGCTGACCTTGCAGGTAGCAACCCCACTCAGAACCCACTATGCCACCACCAGGGCTCCATGGACAAAAACTCCTTGGCGACCCTGTTGAACAGGGTAGAAGTGCCCCTTTGGGTTTCTGAGACGATAACTCTACAGGAGCAGAAAGTCCAGCCGCATCCTTTTTCCTGGCAGGAGGGACCCTGAAAAGTGGAGGCTGGGGGCCCTGGGGCTACAGATGGGCTGCTCTGTTTACTCTTCAAATCCAGCTCCTACATCACTGTCTGCCTACCCTTGGGCTCCAACAGGTCTTTGCTTCAACCCACTCTTCTGCACTTCCCATGCGGAGCTGCTGCAACCTGTTGGCATCTGTGTCTCCCCGAAAAGAACTGAGTTCCCTACAGTCAGACAAGACCATGCATCAGCTTTGCACCCTTCAGCCCACACTGAATGGCTAAAGCGGGTGCTTTGAAAATAAAGAACAATTGATTCTTTTTTTCCCCAATTGATTCTTTTAATGAATGAGAAACGTTAATTTGATGCATGGATTTCATCTTATCCTGGATTGGGTAGGTTGTTTTAAGGAAACTAGATGATAAACTCGTAAACCAATAGTTCTTGAGTTGATTCCAACTCATGGCCACCCCTGTGTGCCAGAGTGGCACTGTGCCGCGAGGACTTTCAGGGACTGACCTTGGTCAGCAGTCGAGGGCCAGCTCTTTCTTTCCAGGTGCTTCCGGGCAACCACAAGCGTCCAGCCCTTTGTCTTGCAGCCAAATGTGTTAACTGCACTCCCAGGGTGGATACTGTCAGCCTATTAATCCGGGCTCGATTATTTTTATTGAAAGAAAAAGGAGTTATTTCTAACTGGTGCAAGGGTCTCCAATGCCTGATTGTCAGGATAGTCCCAAGGTCCTATTTTCTATTGGATCACCATTGCCATTGTCTAAAGGTGGGAAGGAAAACTCCCTTACTCTTTCTCATGGTGGTGATGAGCCATGAGCTCATGCAGTGCAGTAGGGCTTATTGTCAAAAGGAAAGGGAAGGTAAGTTTCTCTTTTGGAAAGACTCGATCTCATTACCTGTATGTCAAAGTATTTTTTTTCCATTTGGGTTCACCTGGGAAGAGACGGTAGTTGGCCACATCAGGGACTCCACATCGAGGCTTCTTGATCACGTTCATTGTCTGCTGGTCCAACTTCCCCGTGACTTGGAGGCCAAAGAAGGCCTGCAGCTCCTTAATCTTCCTTATCATGGAATTGCCTCCTCTTGCAACCATCTCACCAACCTGGTGTTCTCCTTTCTTTGGGTAAAACTTCTCAAGATACGCCTGAAATGGAGAGGCAGGCTGACATGTCTCTGCTATTGTTTGTGGGAAACACTCATGCTCCGATAAGATAGGGGTCTGTATTCCTGTGAACACACACACACACACACACACACATACATACATACATATGTGTGTGTGCATACATACACATGCATCCCAACCCCTGTACCAATAAATATGACCTTGTTTGGAGCAATGAAGACTTAATCTTATTTCTTTCCCGATGCTACCAGTCTGATGCATGAGGTCCTTTTCACTGCTCCTGTACTGAGGCAGCATCGGGTCAGTCTAGTTCTTGCCTGAGGCTTTTCTTAATCAAGTCAGATATCTTCTGTACGCCCTGGGTTCAAGGTTGTGTCTATGAACCAGAGTTTCCTAGGGGGCTCTTTGCTTCTGGACGCCAAGTCAAATTAGCCATACATTTTAAGGTTTTTATACAGGCTTAAAAATTCTTCATATGTTGTTCAAAATACTTGTCTATGCCTCGGACTAGATTGGGGTGAAAGAAATGAGGCAGAGCCAGCCAAGTGCAAGGCTGGGGCCTGGTTTTAGCCAGGAACTTCACCTGTGTTAACTAGAAAATTAATGGAGATAAAATTTTATGTATCTTTATCATATATATAAGGACCCTTGTGGCATAGTGATTATGTGTTTGCTTGGTAACCTCAAGATCAACAGTTCAAAACCACTAGCCACTCTGAGGGAGAAAGACAAAGCTTTCTACTCCCACGAAGAGTTACAGTCTCAGAAACCCATTGAGGCACTTCTATTCTGTCCTTATGGGGTTGGGTTGGTGGCAGTGAACTTGTTTTTGTTAATAAAAAAGTTAATCTTTACATGTTATTTCTGATCTATAAATCACATATTACTTACATATTACCTAGCAACCTCATATAAGTTATATATGTTATGTTTATATGTTATATGGACACATTTGTGTATATATAAATAATGAAAAAGTAGAAGTAGAGTAAATATTAAGAGTAGGAGATTTATTAAGCTATATGATTATATACTAATTTAAAATAATAGTAGGCATCTACTAAGATCACGTTTTTTCCTCCCCTGAGAGCAATAAAATTCCTTCAAAGGTTTTATGTATTTATTTTCCCAACAGATTCATTGGCATATGATACACATATCATACAATTCAATAGCTCAGTTACATCAAGAAGAGTTGTATGATCACCACCCATCAGTGTTAGAAGATTGTCTTCAGTCTTGCACTCATTGTTATTAGCTCCCCATCCCTCCAACCTCCCCTGTTATTTCCTGAAAGGACCATTAATAGTTACTGTCACTATAGATGAACCTATCCTAGATTTCTTTTTTAATACTTTTTTGGGGGCTCTCACATCTTTTACCACAGATCCAGACATTCCTCCAGTGTGTCGAGCACATTTGCACATATGCCGCCATCATCATCTTCAAAGCATTCTCTTCCCACTTGAGCCCCTGATACCAGCTCCCCATTTTCCCCTCCCTCTCACACCCCTCCTCCCTCACAAACCCTTGATAAGTTATAGATTATTCTTTTCATACCTTACATCATCCTCTGTCGCCCCTCGCCCACTTTTGCATTGTTCGTCCCCCTGGGAGGGGTTCTAGGTTGATCCTTGTGATCAATTCCCTGGCTTTTCTCCCCCCACCCTCCCCTAATCCTCCTGGTATCTCTACTCTCCTTGTTGGCCCTGAGGGGTTTATCTATCCTGGATTCCATGTGTTGTCGGCTCTTATCTGTACAAGTGTGCATGTTCGGGTCTAACCCGATTTGTAGATTTCATATACAGAAAAACATTTAAAAGCAAACAAAGCTAACAAGAATAACAAAGTAAAACAGATAAAGACCTCTTTTGAAAAGAAAGCAGAAAATATTAAACACTAGAACAAATTTAAGTGGATCATAAGGGAGATCGATAAGGTGCTAACGTTAACGTTACTGCCCCTGCAGCTATCCCCCTTCCAAAGCATGCTGCACGTGAGCAGGGCTGTCCACGTGCTTGGTCTCTGAGCAGAGCAACCGCACCAGGAGCTGAATGCACATCTGTTTCTCCTTCACTTTTAAAAAACCGAAGCAGGTTCAAATGCATCAAAAGGGTGATTGAATTATAAGATACTACATTTTGACTTAACTACATCTTCCATAACCAACTTTATAATGAGTTGTCTGATAACAGAGTGTTCAAAGCCCTCAACTATGATTGGAGGGGATTCCCCGGAAACTTAACCATGTGTGGATCCTGAAAATGCTTTTTGGGCTTCTACTGTCATCCAGAGCTTTCTGCAAACCAGGTGTTGACAATTTAAGCTCTGATACCATTCCCTCCTTTGGATTATGTTATTTATAACCTCTGTAAGATCACATTTCTGAAAAACATTTTGATGACATGGAGTAATGCTCTCAATGCCATGGAAATATGCTGAGACAATCAGAAGAGAAATTGTTACCCAGATTATGATCACTATTCTGTAATTATATAAACCAGATATTTATACACACGCATCTATATGTATCGACCTCAAAGCAAACCTATTGCCTTCAACTTAATTAACTCTGTAGCAACCTTGTACAGAGTTTCTGAGTTGGTAAATCTATTTAGGAGCACGCAGCCTCAACTTTCTCCTGAGGAGTGTCTGGTGGGTTTAAATTGTGCCAATCGTGGGTGGTTAGCAGCCCAGTCCCCCCCCCCCCCACAGAATTATATATAATACCTGGAAACTCTACATGTTACAGAGCAGCGCTGCTCCATGGGGTTTTCTTGGCTGTAATTTTTATGAATGCTCATCACCAGATCTTTCTTGCGAGCTATTGATGGGTGAGTTTGAATCAACAACTATTTTGATTTGTAGTTTAGCACCAACTGCTTGTGCCACCAGAGACTTCTCATTCTTTCCTGTAGCCAAAGGTTTCTATAAGGAGGGTAAATGCTGTTGTTGGGACAGACTCTTTACTTCATTCCTGGAGCTCACGCTGACCTAGTGGCAATCCCTCCTGGAGGTCTTAGGGGAGCAGAGGACCCAAGAGAAGAAAAGGGAGAGCACCCCGACCAGACACCTGGGTGGGGACCTCTGAAGTGAACGTGCGATTGTTTGGACCCATTTCCACCCCAGGTTGGGCAATCTCAGGTGATCACGCTGTGTTTCTGATCTTGTTCTGCAAGAAGGCACCGCTCTGCGAAGCATCCGCTTGAGCACAGGTGGAGGCTGTGATGATGCGATGCTTGAGATGTGCTTCTCAGAGGTGAGCTTGTGAGTAAGACTGGATGCTTTTTACTTTCTGAGACAGTTTTTTTCCTTTTAGGCTTATTTAAACTATTGATCTTTTTACAGATATCATATACCAAGAGCGAAGTCCCTGGATTGTAGTGTTGGGGTATCTTTCTAAGGCTTGACTTTAATTTTTCATTTCAAATCTTTTGTTCTTTTGTAAGTTATGTGCTATACTCTGCGTTCTAATACTGTTTCACAATGAAGGTCAAGGAAAGAAAGGTGCTCAAGGTCACACTGCCATCGAATCGATCTACCTATAGCAACCCTACAGGACAGGAGAGAACTGCTCCATAGGGTATTGGGGACTATAGACATTTATGGAAGCAGACAGCCTGATCTATTTCCCGTGGGGCAGCTGGTGGGTTTGAACCACTGACCTTGAGGTTAACAGCCCAATGCTTATCCTAGAGTGTTTCAGGGCTCCTTGAGACTCATGAATCATTCAGCATAAGGCATACTTACAACTACTGGGATGGAGCAAACCATGTTAGTGACCCCAAAGGGTTTGGTTATGGCTACCCACGCAGTTGCATCATCCTAAGTCAGTATGAGGGTCAAGTAAGTGAGGAAGTACCAGAAGCGCAGTGATTAAGATAAATAATATTAAGTAAATAAAAATATATGAGAAAATCCATGCTAAACAACATACCACATTTAAAAATAAACATAGTCCCACCTTGCCTCACCTGAATCCTGGCTCCAAGTTATTGGAAGATGTTTTGAAAGACTAGAGAGACTAACAGTGTTCATATGCTAGTGGTGGAATGAAGAGTAATATACACGTTTCCAAAGTTATACATATTTAAATATAGCACATATCCATTTGGTATGTTGTAGGGGCTGACGAGATTGTTCGACGCACAGGGGCCCTGGGCACAGGAGAGCGAAGCACTGTCTGGTTCTGCACCGTCGTCACAATGGCTCTCCCCCCGTGTCCATCCAGCCTGTCCAGTCCTCCCCTCCACCAGGCACGCTGTCCTTCTGCAGGAGGGCTCCTTGGTGACAGTACGTGCAAAGTGCTGGAGATGAAGTCCTGCCATCCCGGCCTCGAAGGAGCGCTCTGACTGTAATTCTTCAAAGACACATTTGTTGGCTGCTAACTGAAAGCTTGGAGGCTAAGTTGAGGAGCCAGAGGAGGCTCAGAAGAAAGGTTTTGTGATCTCCTTCCAAAAAAAACCAGGCTTTGAAAACCCATGGATGACAGTTCTATAGTGACACACTAGGGGTACCTATGTGGAACAGTCAACTTGATGGTAGCATTAAATACATAAATTAAACACCCATTCACGCTTTCAAGTGTAGATGGGGTGTGCCTTAGTGTGGGAGCAAGTAGTGTGCAGTAGTAGGAAACACTGATGCGTTCAAGGCACAAGAAATCATTTGTTTTTTCTTAGTGAAAATTTGGACAGAGGAGAGTCATGTTTGACCTGCCCCGGGCTACCAGAGGGTCCTGTAGTTCAGATTTGCCTCTAGGAGTCCTCTGGTGTTCCTCATCCTTGATCTCCTAGCTCTTCCCACACTTCAGGCTCCTTCACACACTGCCATTGACATGCTCTTTTCTTTGAACGGCCCTGTCCCTGGGGCTTCATATCAGACACCTTTTCAGGTAGTTCAGGATCATCTCCGATGCCACGTCCTCAAAGGGTTCTTTCCAGACTAATCAGCGATGGGGACCCTCTGTCCCAATTATTATTTCATTCCCAATTATAATCTTGATTGTAATTTTTCCAACATCCCTTGTTACTTCCAGAAGTGATCTTGTCTACTTATTGATTGGCTTGCTTGTTGATATCTTTCATCATTCCCATGCTTGCCATGTGGCAAGGTGTTCTTGCTCTCTGGTTTAAGCTTTTCGGACAATATGTCATAAGGAAGACCAGGGAGTGCTGACATATTTGGATAAATCCTTCAATATACCAAGGTGATCCCATTCTTCCCATACATACCTGCCTAGGATAGACTCTGGCCTTATTCCTGCAGACTGGTCAGGGGTGACTAATCTTATCTCTAAAGGCCAGATAATTGTTCTTTTCAGCATGGGAGGCTATATACTAGCTGGACAGCAGCTATTGACAATATATAAATCAGTGCTTGTGTCCAGGTTTGGACCAAGGCCAATGGTGACTAACGAGACTAGAACCAAGGTCTCTGATCTATTCTGACTTCAGAAGCAGCCCTCCCAATGGGAAACGCAAAGCCTCTGCAGTTATCGGGTCTCTGAGTGCCATGGTGCTAACTGGAGGCAAGATGTATGTGGAGAAACGGGGTCCACAGCTTGGTGGTAGCTATAAATTACAACTTGAAATTGAATGAGGTATTCCAAGTTATTTTGAATTTAGCTCCTCAAAATACTGTGCTTAAGTCAAAGGAAATTCAATTCACCAGGCCTGGACTGAGCATCCACTAAGAGGATTATATGCAGGGCTGGTATTCAAAATGGTTAGCGGGTGGTGTGGTAGGGAATCGGTCAATTAGAACGGGCAAGAGCTGTCTATAGCCTGCGGGGACGTGTGGGTGTGCACCGTGGGAAGCCAGTTTTGAATGTGACTATCTGAGCTGCACACAGGTGTAGCCTGGCAGGAGGGAACGCAAACTTGGGGCAGAATTGGTAGTCACAGATTCCTGACACACAAGGCCCTATGCAAAACCGACCCTGCCGCACACCTTCCACTAACGGGGAAATTTCATCCTTGGTGACCCATCCTTTCGATGAAGGATTGCCACATTCCTGTAACGTGCAAAACCACTTGGAAGTAAATACCCATTGAGCCATTTTTAAATCACTTACTGAAAAATTTGACTATAGATCACATGTAAAAAATCATTTTTGACAGTCAAATGGGAGATATTTTAAAAAGAAAAACAAGAAAGAGTAAGCAAATAAGATATAGACAGTTCCTGGGTAACAAGTGATGAATCAACCTTCCCAAAGCTTATTAGCTTAAACTTTTCAAGTACATGCCATGGTTCATAGTAATGAACGAGTACTATTTTTCTACACACGTCAAAGCATTAATATTATTATAATATTGTGTTAATGCTCTTTTAGGTATCTGGAAGTGTTTCTTTAGTGTTTATGCATTGAAAATTACATTACGTATTATGTCGTAAGACAACCATTTAACTAACTGATGTTAGAAATGAACAATACCTAACTCTTAGGACGTGCATACAAATTCAACTTGAAAGGCCGTTGTAGAAACAGACTTTGTTCATGATCCAGGGACTGCCTGTGGTTCAGAAATAGACTTTAGAAAGGAATGCCCTTTGAATAAAAGAGGTTCAGCACAGAGGAAAAACTTGATCCACTTTTAATTTCAGTTAAAATTATCCCGAATACAAGAGTTATTAAAAAAAATTAAACACGGGAAATCTTTTGATGTGACTGTTAGGAAGCTTACCCCTAAATCGATCATCTACATCTAGTCTGCACACCTTGCCACAATCCTCTTTCTCCCTCCCCCCACAATTCCTCAAATAGTTTTAACTTTGTTTAAAAGCATTGCATTGCATGTACTTTTGTAAGCCACTCCCAAGTGTAAGGGATGAGACATCTAGACAGGCATTTATTCTTTCATGTACTCGGTCATGATGTGTTCATGTGCACTTACTATGTACCAGAGGTTGGTTTTCAATGACCAAGAGACAGTATCTATTAGACGTCAGTGGATTATAAAATGGCTTTAAAAGAGGAACCGATTTTTACTTATTTTCCCTTTCCAGGTTGTCCTGGAGGGCAGGGCAGGAAGAGGGAATCGTGCAAAGATTGACCAACCTGGGCAAGGTGGTAGTTGTTCCTTGAGGTCCTGGAAGTGGCTGCAAACAGGGAGGGGGCTGCCGTGGAACACTTCAAAGCGGTGATGAGGAGGACGACGAGGCCAGATGCAGGGAGCACCTTCATCTCCTCCTGGTGGCTGGGTAATTATAACAGCCCGGGGACGGCAGACAGTGCACATTTGCACTTCGACCTTCAGCTGCTTTTATAGAGCCACACAGGTCTGGGCCCTCAGAGCGAGGATGATTCATGTCTCAAACTGTAATTACACAGCTCGTTTCTCTCCCTGATGATGGGGTTCCTCAACAGTACACAGGAGCCAGGGAAAGCTTCCTCCTGTGTGATTTACCAAGTGACCAGGGAGAAAAATGTCACTTTTTAGGTTAATGAAGTTGATCGGCTTTGACACAAACTTGGGCTCACCTGGATGAATTTGTGCCCGACTCCCTTGGAACATTTGACTAGTGTTAATTTGGGAACCTTTCCCAATTCTGATCGCAAAGAAAGGAAAGGATGAAAAGAGAAATTAGTTTGGTCTCTCCGTAATCCTGGGCTCCCCATACATTCGGTCCAATCGCCTATATCTTCTGCATCCTTTTAGGCATTTCTTGGTAATGAGTGCTGTTCATAATGATGGTTGTGAGACAAGTAGGATCCTGAGTCATCACGGAGACATTATATTACACTGTGCTGACTTAGGGTAGAAGTGAACTGATACCTGTTAGAAAGCTTGTTGAATCAGTCACTACAATACTTCCTTAGCTAACCCAAATATTAGTCAGGACTCCTCCTTCTCTGACCATTCTGGCTAACAGAGGGTGTATTCTATCTATTTTTTCCTTGTTCTGATTAAGATGGGCTGTGATCTAGGGGTGGTATGGAGAAATGACGTTGGGTGGTTGGACAAGCACTTTGTATACAAACAAAAGCCTCTGCCGTCCAGTCAATGGTGACTCGTAGTGACCCTCTCGGGGTTTCTGGGCTACACAGCTTTCCAGCGGCAGAGAGCCCCGCTTTTCTCTTGTGGCCCCACCCAGTGGATGGCAGTTCAACTTTTGCTTGATGGCCTTACCCAGGTGCCTTGATTCAAAGTGAGATTAAATTTTGGTTGAGATATGTTCTATATGTGTGAAGCAGGGTTAGTTATTTAACCTCTGTCACATCATTTTTTGTTTAGTTTCAAATGACTGACAATATGCTACTGGAGTGTGACCCCTCAATGGGAGAGGGGGAGTATAGAATAGAATTTGGTGCCTCTTGGCACCACCTGGGCCTCCACTCTACTTCAGCTCAAATCCCGGTTCTGACACCAGTTCATAAATATGACTTTGGGCAATTTTTCAATCGGTTTCACCTGTGGTGAAAATATAAAATATATATAGTCTATAGGTATAAAATATAACTTTTTAAAGGACTGTTAGTAACTAATTCAAATCATTACAAGCCCTTTAACAAACTGGTCAGTAGACATTAATTCTTTCAAAATAATGTGTATTTTATCTTTTTATTTTGATACCTAGCATCTAGTATCTTTTAACCAATGATTTTGGACGGACGGACGGACGGACGGATGGATGGATGGATGGATGGATGAACAGACCAATGCTTCTCTAAGCAGAATCCCAGCAGCAACACTAAGACCAGGAACTGGTTCGAAATGTAAGTCCTTGGGCTCCACATCGGATGGACTGGAGTCTGTGTTTTACTAAGTCCTCCAAGCAATTCTAATTCCCATTATAGTCGAAAAAACCACTGGCCTCATTGAGTAAATAGTACAACAAAGTCTTTGATGAAATGGAATAAAAACCTAAAAGTAATTGCCTAGAACACCCTAAGCACAGATGGTATTCATTATCACCCTTGCCATCTGATGGGAGCCCTGGTGGTTTATAGGTTACTCATTGGGCTGCTAAACTGCCAGGTTAGCAGTTCAAAACCACCAGCTGCTTCTTGGGGGGAAAGATCAGACTTTCTACTCCTGCAAAGATTGACAGTCTTGGGGGAGTTCTACTCTGTTCTAGGGTCATCACGATCAGAATTGGTCATGCGTATGTGTTGGACTTCTCTTCAGTTGGCCATCTTGCTCTTTGTTTCCCCCCAATCCATTGCTCCGATTTATCATGGTGGCCTCGAGGCAAAAGCAGGGAGGAGATGGGTATTGGAATAGAAAGGATGATTGTGCTTATACATAGAAAATGTTCACATAACCACGATTTTAAAGGACATGCTAATTTCTAATTTAGAAAACAGAGTGATTTCAATAATTGCCAAAATGTTTGATGTTGATACTACAGAAGTTTCCCTTATCATCCTTCTAAAGCACGAATGCTACCAATCCCAGTGTTTCCAAGGCAAGACTATAATTATTTAGGTTAAAAACTTGAAAGAGGAATATAAATGTATGTTCTTATAAGTCATTCGCACATTAGTGTGACTAAGGTTTACTTTAAGGCCGTGCTAAGTAAAACCTGTGATTCTTTCAAGGAACAAAAGACTCAAGCTGTTCCATTTTCACTACATTTTGCTTTTTCTTTGTTGGAGAAGTTCCCTGGGTTGCAAAGGAAATCTGCTCCTGTGCCTGCTTCTGAAAGGTTTTCAGCCTCAGAAACCCTATTTAGTGCAAGAAAATAATATAGGTGAGGAAGTCTCTGGGCAGTAATGACCCCTTGGGAATCAGATTTCCTAGAAATGTTTCATAGAAACCAACGATCCAGACTAATTCAAGAGGGTAAATTACCCTGACCCACTGATTAAGTCAACTCTGATTTACAGCATCCTGTTGGACAGGGTGCTCCTTAGGGTTTCCAAGTCTGTAAATCTCTATAGGGGACAGGCCACCTCCTCTTTCTCTGGTGGGTTTGAACCTCTAACCTTGCAGTTAGTAGCCCAGTCATTAAACCTTTGAGCCATCAAGGCCCCTTACAAGAGAATGAAAAATTTTAATTATTGTATCATTCACTACAGAGAATTGTTCCTTGTTAGATCTCAGATGAGGAGTTTTACATTTTTAAGATGATACGTGTCATGAATATGAAGCATTGATCAATAGTTGCAGAATAAATGATTGAATGCTTAGTTGTATTACTTTTAAAAAGGGGGCTAGGTTTTATAGTTTGGCAGATGGAATCAAATACTGACTTGGCCACTTTTTAGATGTGCAAGATACCAGTCAGTGTTCTCCATTTCAAACTATAGAAAACAAAACACTCACTGCCATGAAGTTGATTTCAACTCATATCAACCATATGGGAGAGTAGAACTCTGTGTGTTTCTGAGATGGTAATCCTTCTTTACCCCCATTTAAAAAAATTACATTTTTATTGGGATATACTTCACATATTATATAGTTTAATCAGTCAATGATATTAAGAAGATTTGTGTAATCATCACCATAATCGATTTCAGAACATTTTCTTCTTATACTCATTGCCGTTAGCTCACCATCTGCCCCCATCTTTCCCTAGGTGAATATTAATTCCCATTGCCTGTACCTGCAACCTCGCCACGCCCCTAGGCAATTTCAATCCAATTATTGCCCATATGAAGCCCAGGAGAGGTATCTCTAAAGAGTTTGTAATTCTATATGCTAGTAAAAAGCCTCATTTTTCTCCTACAGAGCTTCTGGTGGTTTCAAACTGCTGGCCTTGCAGTTAGCAACCCAAATAGTTATTCACTACACTAACCAGGGTTCCCTGGCTAATTAGGAGAAAATACAATTCTTTGAAGGATATAAGGTAGCTCAGAAAAACTCCAGGAAAAATGGAAAAGCAGGTTAGGAGAAACAGCAAGAAAAGGGATGTAGAAACTCAAGGAATGATCTGTTTCTAGGACCTTTGCCCCTCAACACTTGACAACACAGAAGCAAAGAGTTGGAGGACTGATGCTGCCTGACTTGGAGATTTGTTATAACGCTAAAAAGGACATGCCTTCAGGGGAGACAAGTCCCTGGAAAAAGACAAGCATGCTTGGCAAAATAGTGGGCAAGGGAAAAGAGGAAGATCTTTGATGAGATGTATTGACATCTGTAACAATGGGCTCAGCAAGGTCAATTTTGAGGAAGGTGCAGGATCAGGTAGTATTTCCTTCTGTTGTACATATGGTTGCTATGAATCAGAACTGACTCAATGGCACCTGACAACAACAACAACAACAACAACAACAACATTCTTTGACAAGATGATTCACCGGAGAAAGGATCATCTTGTCAACAAATGGTGCTGGAACTACAGGATACTCAATCTTAAAAAGCGAATCTAGACCCAGCATGCGTCTTTCACTAAATGTTCACTCAGTAGATCATAGGCCTCTATTTAAGTTGCAAAAATCTACAACTTCTAATAGACAACACTGGAGGAAATCTAAGTGACATTGTGTCTAGTGATGACCTTTTAGTTATAGCATCCAAATCATAATCCATAAGGGAGAAATGTGATCATTTAGATTTAATGAAAGAGCTGCTGCTCTGGGATGCACACTGTTAAAGGAACCAGAAGACAAGCCATGTGCTGCAAGAACATGTTTGCAAAACATGTACAAGGAGGGTGCAACAAGGTCATGGAAAAATTGATGAAAAACTAACAAAAACTTTCCATGAACCTTTTGAAACACCCTTATGTCTGAAAAGGGACTCATATCTAAAATATATTCTGGAATGAGCAGAGTGACTGAATGATTAAAACTATGGAATAAGTAAAACAAGATCATTTTTAGAGGGGTAAGTTTTGAATTAACCCATTTAATGGATCAAACAAAGTTATATACAGTCACATTGAGTCAGATACATTGTTACACCTTTACTCCATGCCAGGCATTGAGCCAAGCACCATATGTACATTTTCCTATTAACCTTATGACAACTTAATTTTTTATAAGAGAGAGCTTTATATAAAGGTTAAGTGTGCATTAAGAAAACACCCCAACCCAGTGCTCCCCAAGCCCACAAGTCCAACATTAACCCATTAACCCATATGTCCAACACCAATCCACAAAGTCCTCCTCCATCTCACAAAACAGACGCAATGATGCCAACTGCAGGAGGAAAGCCGAGTCAGTGAACGTGTGAGCATCTCAGCACTGGCAGGGGTCTCCACACAGCTGCTCCAGCACCCAGGGCTGCATCAGAGTAG